GACTCAATGGCAACGGGAATACCTGTGGTTAAAATCCCATTTGGGAATAGGTTTTCTTTCTTATGTTAATGAGGCAGTATTAGTGTAATGTGTGTCTTAAATCAATCTCTTCTGAGATATAAAAGGAGCAGATTAAGCAAGGAGATGAGAGCAGAGATGGGGGAAGACAGATGCCAAGTCACACGAAGATCGCCCAGGAGCAGAAGCTGAAAAGAGATAAGGACCTTCCTCCAGAGCCATCAGCGAGAGAAAGCCTTCCCCTAGAGATGGTGTCCTGAATTCAGACTTCTATCTAGCCTTCTAAACTGTAAGAAAGGAGTTTTGGTGGTGCAGTGATTAAGTGCTTGGCTGCTAACTGAAGGGTCATCGGTTCAAACCCACAGCCGTTCCACGGGAGAAAGATGTGGCAGTCTGCTTCCATAAAGATTAGAGCCTTGGAAACCCTACGAGGCAGTTCTGCTCTGTCCTGTAGGGTCCCTATGGGTCGGAATCGACTCGACAGCAACAGGTAAACTGTGAGAAAATAAATTTCTGTTTGTTAAAGCCACCCACTTGTGGTATTTGTGTTCTAGCAGCACTGGGTGACTAAGACACCATGAGCAAGAGTTCCTGAAGTATACAAAGGCCTTGCTAAGAAGATGCCATACATTTCTCATCACTTCACAAAGGTATATTGCTAATGTACAGTTGACGAAGCTAACTAAGCAAAAATATTAAAGAATTCAAGCTTGTGTTCCAAAAGCTGTCTGCTTCTGACAGACGGACACTGAGGAAAAATCAGAACATTGACATTACGCGAGCATTGAATCTGAGAGCTCGCTGACTTTGCAGGCCGACTGTTCGGCTCCCACATGCTTCTGTTCTGCTCTTTGCCAACTTGCCTGCAGAAGGCATCAAAGATGGCTGCCAATGCCAGACACTATGTTTATTATACTGAAGTGTGGGGTGGGGGAAGGGCCTCTGGGAGAGAGGCCAAAAAGGGGGAGGTGTATAGAACAGGTAAGGGCAGAATGAGGTTGGTTGGGGGTCCCTTATGAAATAATCTGATGTTGTTGTTGGATGCCATCTAGTCGATTCTGATTCGTAGCACCCCACGTGACAGACTGCATCTGCCCCACAGGGTTTTCGAGGCTGTAATCTTCATGGGAGCAGAAGGTCAGGTCTCTCCCCTGGAGCCACGAGGTGGGTTAGAACTGCCAATCTTTTGGTTAGTAGCCGAGCACTTAACCACTGCACCACCAGGGCTCCTTCCGATGAAACCCTCGGTTGCTGTTGTATGCTGTTGAGTCCATTCCAACTCATAACCATCCGATACGGCAGGGTAGAGCTGCCTCATGAAATGATCTACTTGTTCTAAATCCCATAAAATACTGAAGCTATTCAAGACAAGTGCGCTTGGGAAGTCAGGTTAGTTTTTCCTTGGGTATTTCTTCCCCACTGAGGACTCGAGGAATTTTGAAAGTGTTTCTGTATACTCGTGACATTTTAAAATGGTCCAATTTCTATCCCTCTACTGGGTTAAGGAGCCTTGGTTGTGCAATGGTTAGCGCTTGGTTGCTAACCAAAAGGTTGGCAGTTTGAACCCACCAGCAGCTACTTGGGAGAAAGACCTGGCGATCTGCTCCTGTGAAGATTACATACAGCCTAGGAAACCCTGTGGGGCAGTTCTACTCTGTCACGTGGGGTCACTATGAGTCGGAACTGACTTGACGGCGCCCAACACAACATACTGGGTTTAGTTCTCAATACACGTGATGCAATTTTATGCCATTTTGTAACTCATCAGGAGTCCCTAAGTGGTGCAAATGGTTAATGTGCTCACTGCTAACCGAAGGGTTTGAGTCCACCCAGGGGTGCCTTGGAAGAAAGGTCTGGAGATCTACTGCTGAAAAATCAGCCACTGAAAACTCTATGGAGCACAGTTCTACCCTGACACACACGAAGTTGTCATGACTGGAAGCTGACTCCACTGAGCAGCTGGTAAAACAACACAAAGGAAAACCTTGTCAGGGATCTTTTTATCTTTTAGCCTTAAACCTGTAAACCCCGTTGGCACTGAGTGGATTCTGACTCACAGTGACCCTGGACGATAGAGTAGAACTGCCCCATAGGGTTTCCAAAGCTCGGCTGGTAGATTTGAACTGCTGACTTTTTGGTTAGCAGCCAAGCACTTACCTACTGTGCCACCAGGGCCCCACAAACAGTAGGCACTTAATAAAACTTGGCGAGCTGAACCGAATTCTGGAGTGTGGTTCAGTGTCTCTGTAGTACGCACTCAGTGTACTCTTTAGGATCTTACTACCCCCACCCCCCTTTAAAAATCCTAATGCTTGAAATCTATTTGCGTAGGGAGACACTTGCAGCTTCTAGATCCTCGTCTCTGAGACGTGTATAACACTCAGCTCGTCCCTCTGGTGTGCTTTGACCAGGGCTCCAGACAATATTCTAACCTCGTGATAGTTCAGCTCCAAAGTAAGGTTATGCTGCTGGGTTTCCAAAACAACTTTGGGCAAAAAAAAAAAAAAAAACAAAAATTTTAGTGATAAAATTTAGTGATAAATTGTCATGTAAAATATGATTCTAATTCTAACCAAAAATTCATCACAAACACATTCAGCATAATATATGCAGGAAACTATGCGCTGAACATTCTTAATTGCTTCCTTTTTTGTAGTGAACAAAATTACCATCTTCTATGTGTGTAAAATGTAAAAGTAAAAGCATATATAACTGGAACTAATAAACCCATAACTTTGAAGTGGAACAAATAACAACAATGCATTGGTCTGGACTTTAGAGTCGTATGGAAGATGGCCATCATGTTACAGTTGATAAGCCTGGGAAGCATTTCATTTCTCAGAATACTTGAAAGCTTAATTCTCTATCCACTGCTATTATACTTCACTGCCAGTGTGAAGAAAACGAATGATTCTGATCTTGGATTTCACAATCAGCTTTTAGAGCCAGTGCATAGTTGGTGCTTAAAACAGCTCTAATGCAGATTATTGTGTAATTACGGTCAAAGCCAAAATAATATAATTAACCTTAACCACTTCATCAGAATGAAAGTGTCTTAGAAAACACACACACACACACACACACACAACAAAGCAACATGCATAGGCACATACAGGATTTTATAAAAGCCCCCAAACCAAACCTGTTGCCGTTGAGTCAATTACGATTCCCTTCTGTAGGCGGTGGCGCGGTGGTTAAGAGCTTGGCTGCTAACCAAAAGTTTGGCAGTTTGAATCTATGAGAACTAACAACAGCACAAATGGAAAGAGAAGTAATATAAAGGCTAAAGACCTGTAAGACGGTTAAAACCTGTCGCTGTCGAGTAGATTCTGACTCATAGCGCCCCAGTATGACAGAGTAGAACTGCCCCATAGGGTTTCCAAGCAGCGGCTGGTGGATTTGAGCTGCCAACCTCTTGGTTAGCAGCCGAGCTTTTAACCACTGTGCTACCAGGGCTCCATAAGAAGCTTAAGACTGACATTTAAAGACCATTTCGAAAACATTTATTGATCCTCTGTACCCCATTGCCGTTGGGCTGATTCCAACTCACAGCAACCCTACAGGACAGAGTAGAACTGCCCTGTAGGTGATCTCGGCTGTCATCTTTACAGGAGCAGATCGCCAGGTCCTTCTCCCATGGAGCTGCTGGTTGGGTTCAAACTGCTGACCTTTCACTTAGCAGCTGAGCACTTAACCGCTGTGCCACCAGGCTCTTTTCAGGATTTTGTAACGAAGTAGAATTCAAAAATTCTACAG